CACAAAGAAAGCAGCACTAATATCCCTTACCCCCAACCTCCCTGAAGACAACCCCAATCTCTTTCCTTGGCATTTACTCTTGGTTGTAACGTGTAGAGCCTTTCCAAAGAGACCTAGGCCACTCAGAATAAGGACCCTACGTAATGGCTGTGCCTACACTAGATGCTAACTGAGCAGTTGTTACTGCAGTCATTTTGTACTTGTTTATACACGTAAACAAGTACAAAATGACTGCGCGGTAACCGGAGTTACTGCACAGTCTCACCGTGGAACGTAGTTTTCGTGACGCTGACTGTGGAGTAGCGTCGCATCACGCTTCCTGCCACATGATGCTACTGCATAATCAGCGTCTCATGTAGACACAGCTAGTAAAGTAGCAATGACACCATGAAGCAGGTGGTGTAGCACTGATATGGGGAGGGGATAACAGAAGTTGCAAAACTTGAGGCCAATGCCACTGTTGACCATGGCAAAAATTCTAGCTATCAGGGTTTTAAAATATCTGTGGTTTGCTGCTGCTCCTTACCCAATGGCTATTATAGAAAAAGACAAATGGAAAACAAAATAATTAAAAACAAAATCTAAACCACACACACTTGATTACAACAAACTTAAATATATAATTTCGCAGATATTTTGCATCCTATTTTTAAAACACAAAAAACCACAACTACATCTGATGACAGGAGTTAAACTCTTTATTCCATTCAGAGGCATCTGGCAAGTGGAGCTGCGTTGGGGGGCACATTACAGATGAAAAATGATCCATACTTTGCAGATGTTGAAATCATTTACAGTATTTACTTTCTAGCTATTCCAAAATACTCCAAATTACCAAATCTCAATTGAAAATAAAAACTTGATTTACCACACTAAGTCTAGAAATTTGAGAGATGACAGTATTTAAGTCAGCAGATGTAAATGCAGCGCCTATTCGTAAAATAACTTTTATGGAAAGTAAGTCAAATCCTTCTCAAATGTTAAGAAAGGAACGTTGGACTTAGGCTTAAGCCTCAACGAAAATTAAAATGCTATGACTTTTCATACTTCGGTAATTTTAAATTAATTGTAAGAACAAATCTAAGGCTAGATGAAGGTCACTGTCAAAAAGGAAAAGAAACTTTCATTTTTCTCTGCTAAAACTACAACATAAGTTGGTGGTTTTTAAACCAATTAGTAAAGAAGAGATGCAGGAAAAACACTTCAGACCATTTTCAAAAATTATCTAATCTGTACAACAATGATCTTTGGGAAAAGTATCTATTCTATGTAGAAATGCCTCTATTTCAATATGAATCTAAGAGGTAGATCAACAAAATGATGAAACAAATGTTTTTTGCTAGTTGTGCCCCTCAAATCAGTGCAGCATGGTGATTCTGATCATCTCATGCACAAAAACATCACAAAAAATGGTTCAGAGGTAATAGCATGGCTCTGTAGACCACACACATACAGGCGCGCACGCGCACACACACACACAGCAGTCTTTATGCACCATGTGTTGCCACATTTTTAAAACTGAGGTAGACTGAAGTTTATTGTAGAAACTTGAATGTGTAATATTACCACAATCATTATTCAAATTACATTCTGAAATTAAAAAAATTTGGTAGCTTTCCTATTATCCCTGCCTTTTGACATTTTTTTCCTCTAATGGTTGGTTGCAGAATGTGCATAAATCCTGCTGCATCTATTATAAGCCAGGCAAAAGAGGGTTTTTTTTTTTCCTTATAGTTTTAAAACCTTCAAAGTGGCTTAGTGTGGCCCATAACAGCGGCTGGATATGTAAACTTAGCCTTTCATTATCTTTACATGTGATCAAACAGTGTTTGACCTTCCCCCATCGTGGTAACTGAAAGCAGTATGATGCGATCTGCAGTGAGCAACAAGGACCACGTGGCCTTAAACATGCCCCGGCAGACCAAGTATTCTATCAAACTGAAGATGAAGCTTGCTCTTTGAACAGAATGGCAAAGTCCAAATGGGCTGCAAATGTTTAAATGTAGCATTATTAGGTAGTGATGGTCAAAGGCACAAAGGGTTCATGCATTCAATCAAGTAGCACAAAAAAACCAAAATTCAGCCTCCTGCAGCCTTCTAATTTTTCCCCCAACCCCAGCCTCTTGCCATCACTTCCTTGTTCTGTTCCCAATAGAGTACCGTCACAAACTTTTTCATCCCATCTTAAAACAAAAATAAACGGCATTGCTGCTATCAGAATGTTGGCATCATTCGCTATCTTTTGAACATTCACTGAATTTTTTTTAAACAAATGATGGTGTCGAAACCCTCAGAAAATCTGAGGCTGTATTTTTATCCATCTTACTCCCATCAGCCAGCAGCTAGAAGCATCCTACTGTATTTTTCCCCCAGTAATTCCATAAGTACTCCAGGCTGGTGGCTGATCAAATTTTAATTTTTTTAAAAAAATAAAATGCTCAAGAACTATTAGCTTTATAAAGTATACAAAATACCAAAAGAAAAAAAAAGCAAAAAGGAACAATTTCTCATTGAGGTACTAAATGCCTGAGGTAGTTTAGTAAAATGCATATTTATCTTTTTATGCCCTGGCCAACACCATACAACACTTCCCCTTAGGTTATTCATGGCAGTGTTATGTAAAAATGCAACCAATTTTTTAAAAAATGCTACTTGTTTAATATTGGGACTAACACTTAAACTCTTGTCAATGCCCATGCTCTAACCCTAACCCACCCACAATCCCACCCTCCAATTGTGTTTTCTTTTATGACTGGACCCATGAGAGCAATGCCTTTTTTTTTTAACCAGTGAACTCAGAAGAGAAAGCTTCATTAAACCAAGTTCTAAAATTGTTGGGGAATAATAAGAACAATAAAAAAAGACTAACGAGTTTATGTTAAATTGTGAGAATAGAACAAAAGGGAAGTGAAGGGGTCCTTATTTTAAAGCTGGGTTTCAAAAGTTTGAGAGAGCCTAAAGAATACATTCTCAGAGACAGCATTCAATGGTTGCCTGGTCCTCAAACAGGTGACTGGCTTGGTGGAACTTCTGCATATAACTCCAACAGGTGTTCATCACCTGTCCATCTGTAACACAGTCTGTCTTTGGTCTGGCATCTGTCTCCGATGGGCCATTTTCTAAACCTTTATTTTCGTCTTGGCTGAGGCTGTCCACTTTGCGCTGTTTTTTGCTGTTGCTGTTGCCTTCTTACCTGAGCCAGTATTTCCTGAATTTTCCTCTGGGCAAGCTGCAGAATAGAAAGCAATATGCTTTGACTGCTAACTTGTTACACTAGTTTTTAGAGTTCATCATTAGTTTTCCCCCACCCCATTTTACTTAGCACCATGGTCAGTTTCCCATCTATAAAAAGGGAAATTATAAGCTTTGAGATTTATGTACAAGCAGCGCTATACAAGAAGTAGTTTTTACTTAACTGAACACTGTCATCATGTGCATAGATTGAATTTTTTTAAGGATAGGGTTGGGTGTTTTTAATTATGTGTGTGTGCAGACTGGTTCCTTTTATTACAATCCCTGTAGCAGCAGTTCCCAATCTGTAGTACAGGCACCACCAGTGGTACGCAGACAACCTGTCAGTGGTATGCATTAACAGATTTATCATAATTACTTTATATGATAAAAATTTGCTGGTGACACTTAAGGTTGTATCATTTTAAATTGGTGGTGTGCAATCTGTCAAAGTTTGGGAACTGCTACCCTATGGTGTTACCACAATGCAAATAAAATTAACAACCAACCAACATCTAAGAAAGTCTACAACATTTATCCAAATGTTATTCCCAAGTTAGGCCCCTGACAAAACAGAAAGATGTTCCACAACACTGTGTTCCACATTAACTCATTCAATGTTATTCCTATTTTATAGTATAATATGATATTCCTTATGTCACTATGCAGCAGGCCTATTATTGAACATGAGAGAATTCTAAAGGTTCATCTTATACAAGGAAGACTTCTTTTTCTGAAACACCACTTAGTCTCTGAACTGGACACCATGACAAACCAAATAATTCACATTAACTCCTCTGTGAACATGAAGGTAAGTGAAGGGTGATGTCTCTTAATCCTTGTATGATTAATTTAATAGATTATTAATATAAGTAAGTACTTTATACACAGATTTTAGTCCTAATCCATAGAGACTAAAGCTGTGAGAATTAGTATATTGAGAAGAGGTTGGCAAAAACCTTGTTCTACAGTTTTAACTTTACTGTACTTATGCATTAATTGCACCACTCACAGGTATCAAATGTATCCGGTCCTGCACGGCAGATGAGTGGCACAAGGCTGGATCAGGACCATAGACTAGCCCCACACGCTGGATTTAATGTATGTCTCAGAGCAGGTACCATGTGCTGCACACATGCCAGAGTGACTAGTCCAGTCCACTTGGGAGCCACACTGCCCACAGGTCTGCTCCATACTGGATCTAGGGTGCATCCCAAAGTGGCTGGAGCAGGTGCTACATGTATCATCTGCTCTGGGACTGTACCACCTGCTCCAGGATTTGTGCTGGATCTGACATGGAGGTGCAGTCCCAGAGTGGTCAAGGCAGTTCATAGGGCTATCTGGCATGCGCTACACACTGTGTGTGGGTCAACCCTGGGACTCACAAGCAGCACTGCAGGTCAGATGATAGGGCTTCATCGACTTGATTTGGTCTGTGGGCTGCATCTTTGACAACTCTGGTATAGCTGGAGCACAGCACACCTGGTCTACTTTTCCATGGAAAATTTGAAGTTCCATGCATTATCCTGTTTTGTTTTTTCTGAAGGCAACTGCTTGTCTTTATATTCAAAATGGAAACAGTGAGCATGCCTACATGTACAATTAATGCTACTTGGCTTTACTGTGCAGTAAGCACCTGCACATTTAGACAGCAACACTTTACTCCACCGCAGATTAAATTGCTTTACTCATGTAGACATGGCCAGTATGTTGTAAATAGCTCACCTGACAGGTCAACCATAAACTGATTATGACTTCAAAAGTCATAGGGCAAGATAGGTATGGCTCATGGCTACTCAGGATTTTCTGTATTTTAGAAGTTATTTCTTGCTTGGTGTATACATGCATAGGAAAAATTCCTAGGTGCAAAACACAGATAAGGTACAAAAGCTAAATAAAAATCACTGAAACAGCCCTACCTGGCATGCATAGAAATGGCCAGTTATTTTCACAACAACCTGATCATTTTCATCTGGGGTCTGGTCACGAGGGACTACAACTTCTGCACTTGTCAAATTCTGAAGCTCATTTACCTGTAAATAAATACTGGAGTCAGCAAAATGCAGCCATTTTAATTAATGAAAATTTAATGTTGCTGGCCATCTGATCTATAAAAACAGCACCCATAGATTTAGAAGTCAACCTAAACGCAGCTGTTTGCCCGAAGAACAAACAAGCATTTTATTCCACTGAAATAGAACAAAGTCAAAACCTGCGAAGAAAAATGCACGTTACTTGGAACATGGCAAGCAAGCAAAAAACGAGAAGCCTAAATTACCTATTACTAAAATGCCTCAATACCACTGACTGACATTTATGTTTCTTTGGACTGTTAAAATAACCAAGTGATAAGACCAAAGATATAACACAGCATACACTGTATGTGTAGTACTGCAGTCACTTCCATTGTGAATATCATATTGTTATTGAGATTATAAATTCACCTTCTGCACTGTCCCACCTAGATTTTGAATCTATCAATCCAATAATGTTGTTCAATTAATGGAAAGCAAGTAAACTTTTTCAAATGTTGCTCACTGGAGACCTGAAATCATATTCTTTACTCATTTAAGGTATTAAATGAGACTCCAGGGTGGTATAGGGGTCCTCAAACCATGGCCCAGAGCTCTTGGACCTATGCCTATCACAATAGAGAAGCATACACAAATATGAGGGCAGTGCAGTTCCAGCATCTCAAATTTTGTTGCACATGTGAGAGACATCAAGAACTGCTCACTTTTAAATCCATGTCCACTTGGATATCTAAAGGAGGACTGGAATTTTTTTTTTTTTTAAGTGTGTATCTTTGTTTCTTCAGTGTAAATTAATCTACGGTGAGGGTTATTTAACAACCTCAGAATCTGAGAAGGAAACAATGTAGAGGCAAGAAGAAAACTAAGCAGATAGGGAGAAATTAGAGCAGCAAGGACTGCAGAAAGTGGCAATCTGGTGGTGGTAACTTCTACACCCATGGAGTGAAAACAAAATAACCAAAATACACAAATGTGATTCACTAAACAGCTTACGCCCAGCACAATAAAAAACAATACTGATTTTCCTCGTCTTCATAATTCAAATTTTAACACTGTTTGAAACCCAGCACTAGAGTTGCCAGTAGAGAGTTTCTCCAAAAGGTGTTCTCTACTTTTAGTGATCTGTAACAGAAAGAATCCAAAAGACCAAGCAGAGGACTGAATAAACAGGAACTCTGTACATCACTGCTTGCACAAGTGCTACAGGTCAGATCACCCAGTAGGTTGTTGACAAGCTGAGCACCATCAACTCCAGCTGAAGCAAACGGAATGAGGACATTCACAATCTCTGGATACACCATGGACTTGACAGGGCTCAGACTCTCCATTTATAAACCCGGGATAGCACTGATAATTAAGGCTTGTTAAAGTTCTTTGAAGATGCCAATACATTGATGATGTTAAATATTAGTTAAAAGTGAACTATGTTGCTACTGGCCATAGTTCATGGCAGGGTGCTAGAATCCAACAGAAAATACCAGACTGCGTTTACTTCATATGGAAGCATTTTGGTAAGAAAAGTCATTTCATTTTTTTAATGAAATTGTTCCTTTTAAGTAGGGGTGCACCAATAGAGATTTTTGGGGCTGATACCAATAGCTGATTTTTAAGGAGGCGTATCGGCCAATAACGATCTGATTTCCAATATGCAGCTCTTCAGTTCTAAGAGCTGCATCCAGCTGGTAACTGGATGGTAGAAGGGGAGGGGCATGGGAGTGCAGATAAAGGCCCCTGCGGTGAGGGAGGGAATGGGGCTGGTGCTCACCAGCCAGGGCAGGGAGGGGAGGGGCATCAGAGAGAGCCACAAGTGACTCGTCCAGGGTGAGGGTCCATGTGCCCCCGGATCTGCGCGGCGTGGGGCAGGCTAATGGTGTGGGCTGGGACCAAAGGGTGGTGCGGCTCATTGGGGAGGCACGGGAAGGGAGGGAGGTGGCCCCTACCACTGGGCATGGCTTGTCCAGTGCTCGTCTGGCGGGTCCCACTGCTGCTCCCGCCAGTTATCTGGGAGGGCATGGCGGTGGGGGGCATGTGCCCCTGGATCTGCCCAGCTGGGAAGAGCCCAGCCCCTGCCCTGTGCCCTCCCAGGCCAGTGGTGGGAGCATCAGCAGGAACCACCAGACAAGCACGGGATGAGCTATGCACAGTGGCAGGAGCCGCCCTCCCTGTCCCTTCCTGTGCCCCCCCGATGAACCTCACCTCCATCTTATGCCCACCCCAGCCCCAGCTGGGCAGCCCCTTCCCCAGCCCCACACCCTCCCTCACCGTGGGGGTCTTGATCTGCTTCCCCACATCCCTTTCACCTCCCCTCCTCTCCCCTTCCACTACACCAGACTTACCAGCTGCACACAGCACTCCACACTGCCAGCTCTACTCCTTACTGCCTACGTGCTGCACTGTGGCTGCACGCATGCACGGGCACTTAATCGGACAAATTAATTGGCTGCATTGGGCCAACTTCTGATACAGAAAATTTTCTTTAAAATCGGTGCCAATCTGATATTTGACCAATGTATTGGTGCATTTCTACTTTTAAGTCTTCTACTCTGACTTCTAAACAGTACAAGAGGCATCCATTATATATATGCAACAAAGTGTGTTATTAACCTGTTCCATTAAAGAATAAGACTATGGCCAGAGCTTGCCATTTCTGCTTCAGTTTATCTCAAAAGTGGTGGTAAAACCACCTGCTTTTATAACTTGCTCTGAGATGTTTTAAAAATTCTATAGTAGTACCCAGAAACCTAACAGGAAGAGTGATACTGGGAGTACTGGTCAACTAGCCCTTAGGTCCAAGGCCTCTGTGGACCAAGGGATGAAGATCCAAGCCAGCACAAACTGGGTTGTTTTGTTTGTTTGAAAGAAGGTTAGATTATCTTAAAACTGATCCCATCTAATTTCTAATTCTAATAATGGCATAGGGATGGTCAGAATCCCAGTTCTGTGAGGCGCTAAGATCCTTTTTTCTGCCTGGGCAGCAAGCCAAAGAAAAGCAAGTAGGATTTGTAGGGTTTGGGGGGTGGGGAAACCCAAGGAAACAAAACACAATTTCCTCCATTTCTTTATACTGGAAAACTTGTCCAGCACTGAATACACAGGAGTCTGATCTTGCCAACACTTCCTCCAGAAGGTTAAGTCAGCTAAACTGTTGGCATGAAGAATGATCTACATGATCAGGCCTCTGATTAAGAGCCTATTAATTCTAAATGGAAGGGGAGTAACTGCATTTGCCATGAGAAGTCCCAAAACCTATGACTGGGATTTAAGTCAGCAGTTATCCTCTTGATTGGCTCCAAATGAAATCTAAATATTGATTGTGAGAAAGGTAATTCTTTTCTACTTGAATTTAGGAAAGGGGAGAGGAAAAACTGAAGGACTAATTATAGCTTTCATGGCACATGCAAGCTTCAATTACTATGCAAAGAGTTAAAATACGAATTAGCTAAAAGCTTATACTTCGGCTGTCCTTCAGCTCCGTTTCTTTTTTCTCAGTTCAATACTTACTGTTTTGCCTCCTTTACCAATAACTCTACCAGCAGCATAGGATGGCACTTTTATATGAGCCTCAAGTTTAACTTCTTCTTTAGGTCCAAAGAAATTTTCTTCTTTAAGCTTTCCATAGATTCTCCCTTGAGCCTGTGGAATGAATTTTGTCAGAGTTAAATTATAGTACCACCCTGAAATCTAGTCAATTACATATATATATCCAACATGCACTAAAGAAAACCGACAACATACATAAACAAACACAAGAAATGACATTTTTTCCCCCTTGTAAAAACTTTTTCCACTTGAATTACTTTTTCCAAGGTGCTTGCATCTAACTAGAAACTGCAGTAGTCAATCCCTTATAGAAACTGACAATCTACCCAAGTTTCAAGCACAATAAGAAACAACAGCATTCTACTGTTTTCCAGTGGAGTAACTCTTTTTAAATGACTACCTCTTGTTTAGTGGTAGGAGAACTGCATGCCAGATGTATGTTTTTATTACTACCAAGAGCCCAAAAGCAGTTTATTTGCTCAAGCACAAGTTAGTTCCTGAAATTCATTCTTTAAAAGGATGTTGAAATCAAATGCCAAGACACATTACAAAGACTTAATTTACACCAGGTTGTATGCTTTTACACAAATTACTGAGTAACCAAATGCAATGTGTTGGTTTAGGCAAGTGTTGGTGTTTAGGTTTTAATGTACAAGATTAAGTCTTTCAATGTAATTGCGAGTGATATCTTGGAAGTAGTTTTATTTTAACCAACACAGATCACCATATAGCAGTGCTGGGTACATGAATATGCTGGGTAGTAACACAGATATCCATCAAGATGTTTCTGCCCATTACAAATAGGAAAGTGAGAGCTTCAGTGCCCAGCTCTCTCCATTTTTTAAATAACTTGGTTTTAGTTGTTTCTCAAGCCATTTCTTAGTTCCCTGTCATTCACAGGCTAAGTCATGAATTATGTTTTTTCTTCCATTCTGGAGGCCTTTCAAAATCAGGTGGATGCTTCCTTCCTAAGCAGTACCACAGAAACCAATTCAGTGAGAGAATTGGATCCTAAATGGTGCATTCTCCATTTGATTAGTTTTTCAGTCCCTTTCCAAAATCTTGGCAGCACCTGTCAATCCTGCCAATGCAAAGTCCCACAAAGTGTCAAACAAGAAAAGATGGGTGGGAAAGAAGTAACAGCAGACCTCTGACACAAGCCACATCAACTGATGGAATACCAGCCAACCTGTGACACCTGAAGCTTGACCATCTCAGAGTTACTCTTGTCCATTTTAGCTTATGTGTCACAGCCATGAAAGATTCAAGCAGCTAGAACAGTACAAAGCAAAAGGAAGCTGGATCACCTTATAAATTTTCAGCAACTTTTCACTTGTACAACACAAACGCCTGGTCCATCAAAAAGGGCACTTTGAAAGCCCTGAACTAAACTAAAATAGGCTAATCAAAAATTGTGGCCATGGAGCTGAGGCAATCAGCTCTTCCAAAAAACAAGCCATAGAGACAAATGGTTATGCTTATGGTTTAGGGGATTACCAATAAAGGGTTGAGTTACAGACCTGTCTCTTACCTCTTTCAGACTTGGGTGGTAGAAGTGCCCTACCTGCTAAGAGGGAATGGAGGATCATTGGGAAATGTAATTTTATTTTGACTCGGTGTATAAAAAGGGGAATCAGTAAGGGAGTCATAACTGTCCCTGAATTCTGTGTCTAAGTTTACAAAGAAGTCCTGATTATAGACAGGCTGTAGTCCTTCTTTCAAAAGACCGGACAATATTGGGTTTCTGGTAACTCCTCCTGCTAGCAGAGATGAAGAACAGCTCAAAAAAATCTGAGATATGATGTCCCCACAAGGAGCCACAGTTATTGCCTGGAAGGATTTTCACTTGTTGACTAACAAGCAGTGCTAGTGGAGACAATTAAGAGCAAATGAGTCCTATTAAAAAAGACTGTCAATCTAGAGATACACTCCAAACAATAGCAGTATGGATTGCTTTTATAATCTCAGTCAAAGGAACATTGTTCAAAGCAGCAAGAGAGGCTGTGAGCTCAAGCTGAGTAAAACCTGGTATAATCCCCTCAAACATAGCTGATGTGCATACATCTCATGCCTATATCTATAAGGATATCAGTTGGGCTTTCATCCTCTTTACCAACACAACAGTGTACACAGGGCTTTAAGTGAACTGCTATTGTTCAAATAAGATGGATAGTGTTCCAACTCTATCCAGCATGTGAAAATTTGCTTTGTCCAATAAATGAGGTTTTGAGGGAAGGATTAGCATATGAACAGATTAACAGAGACATTCAAGACTACCTTAGGCAGAACGAACCCTGAAGTTAGTTTTGTGTAAAAGAATATACAGGCAACCCCCACTTAACACAGTTTCACTTAGTGCTATTTTGCTATAGCGCTCATTTAAAATTCATACCTGATTTCACTTAGTGCTGAGCCAGTTTTGTTATAGGTGATCAGTGAAGCAGCAGTGGCAGCAAGAAGTGAGAAGTGGCAGCGAGTGGGTGGGTGGGCATAAGCATGGGGCCTGCACTGGTGCCACAGGGCCAGGGCCAGCAGAGGCCCACAGTGGGGCAGCAGGAACGGGGGACCCAGGCTGGCACATGGTGCTGGAGTGGCTGGCAGGTGCAGGGTAGGGGGAGAAGTGGCAGTGGCAAGAAGCAGCAAGTGGGGGGCAGGCATGAGTGT